CAATGTGTCTCATATTCTTCCTTCAATCTCTGCAACTTCACTCGGGCTACACTCCTCACCAGACCCCACTCCACCTCCTCAACAAACCCAACACTGTTATTTGAATGTAAATAATTTTAATTATTTTTAAGGATAGAGTTTTACTTAATATTTATAAATAACACAGTTATTGCATCCTTAGATATAAGTTAAACAAGTGTTTTTAATATTTTTTAAAAAATGACACATAAAATCCAAACATAAATTGAAATTACTTGGTCCAATAACAATAATACTTTTTGAGATAGTGGTTTGAAAGTAATGATTAATGGTTTGAAAATAATAATTAATAATTTTGTTTAAATCGTTAAAAAGAGGTGTTTAATAAATTTATTTATTTTAAAATTGTTACAAACTAAGTGTTTAGTAAAATTTTTTATTTAATAGTTTAGGACTAACATAAAATAATTAGTGTTTAAACCACTAACAAATTAAAAAAATTACTTTTTTATACCAAACCACTAATAAATTAAATTTTTTTTAATTTTATTGATAAATTTATCCTTTTAATTTTTTTTATTTTTGGTCACGGGTTTTAATTAGTACTTATCAAATTAGTAGTTATTATCTAATTAGTTTGAACTTTATTTTTTATTGTTAGTAATATTAAGTAATTATTATATTCTTTATATTTATATTAATTTATCATAAAAAAGTTTGCTTAATAAACAACATTTACAAATTAGATGAAAAAATTAAAATTTTTGTTGTACTTTATTTAAAACTAATATAATTTTTTATTAAAAATAAAAATTAGCGTATGATTATAATATTATAATTTATTTATTATTATTATAAAATTAATAATTTAATAATAAAAATATAAAAAAATACACTTGATTTTTTTTAAACATATTCTTATTAGTTATTTAATTTTAAATAAAAATCATTAACAATTGTATAATTAATTAGTTATATTAATCAAATCTATTATTTATTATTCGTTACTTATTTTTTACTATCTATTGGTCATTATTCATTAATTATTATTTATTATTTATTATCTGTTATCACTATCTGTTACTTGTTATTTATTATTTATTATTCATTAAATTGTAATCATTATACCAAACAAATATTAAAAAAAAAAAGAGAGAGAAGGGAAAACAGCTACGTTAACGATTGAGGGCATGGACAAATCTTCTACGATATCGCGTGGGAATTGAATGGTTGGAGAACAGAGCAGCTCATGCAAAACCGTGTCTAACTTTATCATAGATATTTTGTTCTCTATTCACACCTCCAACTCACTTTTGGGCAAGTTGAAATCGATACGGCCACCTCCAGGTAATTAATGATTTAGAGGTTGAATTATAGATTTAACTAATTTAAGTGCTAGTTTTTAAAAATGTTTTCTTGTTTTCTTGTACCATGGTTATGTTGTTGTAAACTATATAATACACACTTACATTGATTTTTTTTTTTAATATAGAGTAGAGCACAATATCCACTGAGGGCTCAGATTATGATCATATATTAAATTATTAAAGAAGTTATATTATTAAAAAATAAAAAATTACACCTGGGCCTAGAGGCCCACTGGTATTAGCCAGCTTGCTAGGTGCATTTTCCTTTCTCTGAGCGGGTTTCGAACTCGCCCGTGTTAAAATGTTCAAAAAATAAATAAATAAATAATTAATTAAAACCCAAAATTAAAGTGATTGACGGCAAATAATAGTTGAGCCCACAGGAGGCACAGGCTGGACTAAAGGCCCGCAAACCGTGTTAAGGCGAAATCATAAACAGGCTCTGCTGGGGCCAGGGGAACCATTAAAGTCGTGTCTCGATGATGAAGTCCAATCATGGTTTGGGTCATCATCAGATACAGATTTCCAAAC